CTTCTCTGCTTCTCCCACATTTTTCTGACCTCACATTCTCTTCATACTCTGTTTACCTAATCTTATCTCTGAGATTCTAGATTCTTCTCTTCTGTTATCCCAAAAGCACCAGAACAGTATCTGGACTGGAGTAATAACCTCCAAATTATATTTGCCAGTATTGTTCTTTCTTTACACATCAACCATATGCTGTTGATATCTGTCTGTATCTTTAAATCTGGCTCATATATCCTTAGTGAGCAGTTTTGCTATGTATGTGTGATATGTGGGTGTACATGCTGGACATATTTGGACATTTGCATTCAAATATCTTAGACAACTTACAAACAGTGTATCCTCCTTTTGGATAAACCCAATTCTCCTCCTATATTCCTGGCTTCAAGTAATGGTATCAGGAGACAGGCCCATCACAAAGCCATTCGAGGCTCCTGCTTCTCCTCTCACTCCACCGTCTAATCAAACATCGAGTCTGTCTATCCTACTTGCTAAGTAGCTTTTGAATTCTCCACTATTCTCCACATTGCTACTGGCCCTAGTAGAAGCCTCATAAATTCTCACCTCAACATATTTAATAGCTTCCTAATGGGTTTCTTCACTCCATTCTCCCCTCATCCAATTCATTTTCCACACTGCTGTCAGAATGAGTTGCTTAAAACACACATCCAATCTTACTGCTCCCTTCCTTAAAAGCTTTTAACTTCCAACATCCTCTGGATAATGTTCAGACTCTTTGTCATATTTTAAAAACCTCATGATCTGGCCCTTTCCCAGCTCTCTAGCTCCATACTCCACTGTACACATCCTTGTAACTCCAGAATCTATCATGTTTCTTATCCCACCATATCTTGCTTCTACTGATGCACGTGAAACATCTTTTCTCCCATATGGAGACTTTTTCAGAAGTGAGTTATATTTTCATAGCATTTCTCATATGACCACATTATACAAGGAAAGTAACTACAAGGGCAAGGGCCAGTTGGTAGGTTACACCTGAGTATTTTGTGGTACATATGATTGGAGGGATGAAGATGAATGGAAACTATGGTCAATTCCTGGAGATAAAGAAATATACCACCAAGGCTTCAAAATTAAAGCTAGAAAAAATAAATTTTAGAGGATATTTACAATTCTGAGAAGAAAGGAATCTAAATTCAATTTGCTACTGACACAATGCAACAAATGTTGAAGGGAAAACACAGCCAAATTACTACCATTGGAAAACAGAAAGAGATCAAACCAACATATCTGCAACTTTAGGTTCATAAAAAGATGTTCAAAGGAAGATGGATTAAAAGCAACAAAATGCCCACTGAATGCCATTAGTTCTACTATGCACATAGAAGCCAGTCAGGTGGCAGCTTTCTTGGTTTTCTCCAGCTCATGATGCCTGAGTGTAGCCACCCTGCTTTCCTGGAAATGGGCAAACCTGTGAGCCAAACCCATCCATAGCCGCCTGCCTAAATAAAAGGGGCCTGCTTACAAGTAATGTTTCTGGTACCTCCCTCTTTTATAACTTTCCAAATTAAAAGATGCTTGCTCCTTGGAAGGAAAGCTATGACAAAACCTAGATAGCATATTAAAAAGCAGTGGTCACTTTGCCAACAAAGATTCATATAGTCAAAGCTGTGGTTTTTCCAGTAGTCACATACGAAAGTGAGAGCTAGACCATAAAGAACGCTGAGTGCTGAAGAACTGATTTCCAATTGTGATGCTGGAGAAGACTCTTGAGAGTCCCTTGGACAGCAAGAAGATCAAGCCAATCAAACCTAAAGGAAATCAACCCTGAATGTTCATTGGAAGGACTGATGCTGAAGCTCAAGCCCAAGCTCGAATCCTTTGACCACCTGATGTGAAGAGCTGACTCACTGGAAAAGACCATGATGCTGGGAAAGATTAAAGGCAAAAGGAGAAGGGGGCAGTAAAGGGTGAGATGGTTAGATAGCATCACTGACTCAACAGACATGAATTTGAGCAAACTCTGGGAGACAGTGAAGGACAGGGAAGTGTGGCGCACTGTAGTTCATGGACCTGCAAAGAGTTGGACATGACTTAGTGACTGAACAACTATAAGGTAAGGAGTTAGAGAAGGCAAGGTTCAGAAAAAGAACGAGACCGGCACTTTACAGGAACAGATCACCTTTAATGAGGTGAGAAGGGACAGCAGTCAGATTAGTGAGCTGCTGCATTAACCTAAGAAAAGAGTAAGTATATATAGGCATGTATGTGGAAAGTTACTGTCTTAAGGGGGCCTGTTCTTCTCCAAGGTTGTTCAGAGTAGTTATCTCTTAAATGACTGGGGCAAGGAATTTTGGAGATCGGCCAGAGGCTGGACCAGCTGGGAGCTGGGCGTAATCAACCTTAATGTCCATTTTTTACTTTGGGTAAGAGAGTTCTTTGTTTTGCATAGAATGGTGGGGAGAACCTGGAGGGGAGTTTTAACTGTTTTGAGCCATGTAACTTTCCTTCAACAACAACAAGTGTAAAGGAGAAGGACCCTATGGGACCTATTAGGACAGATCTCTCTCCCATATCCTCTGCACTAGCACCCCCTCTGAAGTACCCAGATAATAGTATCTCATGCATAGTTCCTGACTTTTTCAGATGCTAAAAACCGCCACCAAATGTAAGAAGTTAACTGTTTGCTAATCATGAGCACTAGCCCCTGGACCTTCTGGTGCTTAAGGACTGAAAATGTCAACCACCCTGTTACCTCAAGGTCAACCAATAGAGAACTGTACATGAGCTAATCACAACCCCCTGCGTGGCCTTCAAAAATGCTTTGCTGAAACCTTTCAGGAAGTTCAGGTTTTTGAGAGGGTATGAGCCACGTGTCTCCTTGAATGGCTCTGCAATAAAACTTTCTCTGCTCCAAATTCTGACTTTTCAATTTGTTTGGCCTCACTATGTATCAGGCACATAAATTTGCATTCGCTAACACAAGTGTTAAAAGAGAAAAATCACAGGCCCAAACGGCGTCCCTTGTGCTAAAGAACAGGACACCAAACCTAGATTTAAGTACCTAACCTAACTGCAGTTTCAGCCTTCACCAGAAATGCAATGTTAATCAACCAGTCTGTAATTTTCTGGTCAGCACCGATGAGGTAATCTATCCCTAGACCCCATCCATCCCCTCAGAGGGAGAAGAAGCAATATGCATGATAAAACCTTTGCCATTCCCTTGCTCCCCCCTCCTCCAAAAAAAAGATGTCCTGGACTAAAAAAATAATCCTTTTTTTTTGAGGAAAGTGAAAGTGAAAGTCGCTCAGTAGTGTCCGACTCTTTGCGACACCATGGACTATATATAGTCTATGGAATTCTGCAGGCCAGAATACTGGAGTGGGCAGCCATTCCCTTCTCCAGGGGATCTTCCCAACCCAAGGATCACACCCAGGTCTCCCCCACTGCAGGCAGATTCTTTACCAGCTGAGCCACCAGGGAAGGCCTTTTTTTTAAAGGGGGGAGGAGGGTATTAATAGCTCCTCCTCTTCCTATAAAAACCTTCCATTTTGTGTAACCTTTCAGAGAGCCATCTTGGTTGCTTAGTGGGATGCTGCCCAATTCATGAAATGATGAACAAAGCCAATTTGTTCTTAAAATTTACTCTATTTTTTAAGACAGGAATTAATATGCCCACTGGACGTGATTCCGTCACTGCTCTGAGGGATCTTAGTCATTTGCCTCTTTACTCACCTAAGCTGAAGACCTATATATCATCTGCCTTCCATGGGAAGGCCTGTCTACCTCTCTCATCTATGATCTTTTACGAAATAAACCCAGCTGCTGCTTCTTTTGCCAGAATTACATAGGATTTGAAGGAAATCACCCCAGTGGAAAGAAAAAAAAATGTAACTCTTCAGGAGGGGGAAATCAAGGGGCAAATAATACAGATCAGTACCTCAAAATAGAGTATTAAACTGAATAACGAGGGAAAATAGGTCAAAATTGTTAAAAAGAATTCATGTAAGAAAATAGGAGAAAACTTTAAAGAATTCTAAATTCAATTCTCTGTTAATGGGCTACTGAACTGAAAATACACAGCTGGCTGTCACAGTAAAGAGCCATTTGACAATAACAAAGTGTTTTTCAATGAAAAAATCATATTTGCCAAAGTGACAAATTTAATAGAGGCAATGAACAGAAGAGTGTATGCTACCAGACACTAAATTAAATAGTTTAGTTACTGAAATAACCCTTACATAATGCCAAGCAAAAAGACAAAGAGAAATTATGAGTAAACTCATGGAGGAGAAAGCCAGTGCTCCAATTTGAACAATGAGAGGACTGAAAGGAGAGAAAAGGGCGGATGAAGAAGAAATGGCAATAAAAGCTGAACTGGAAGAAAATTTCTCCCAGCTGAAAAACCAAACACTGGCCAAAACTACTGAAAAAATATCTGTGTACGTTTTAACATACCCTGGTGACATTTTGGAATCAAGTGATAAAGTTCTAAAAGCTTCAATACAGAAAGAGTAATTACATAAAAAGAAAAGCAATCAGATTGGAACCAATATCTTCAAATAATACTGGATATACAGTATTAATGGAGGATTATTGTGAATTTTTAAGGAAAAGAGATGGCAATTCTGTATGACCACATCCAACCAAATTTTGTTCATTTGTGATGGCAAGCGATTTTTAGACATGCAAGCACTTAGAAAGTATTGTATCCATATTTACTTTCTGAAAAAGAGATACTCATAAAAGTGCTCTAGCCAAATGAAAATTGCATTAGCATAAAGATCTCAAGATGGTGAAAATTTAGCACACGAGAAACAGTAGCAATCAATGAGACTAGTGGTAATTCAATCTAAATAACAGTTGGTACTATCGTCCTGAAATATGTGGAATTGTTAAGAATTCTTGAAATAGAAAGGACATAATGTAAGAAAAAATGAATAACAGTGTAAGAATAAATTTAAGAGTGCAGATTCTCAATCTTAACTGCTACTTACATTGCTATTTAGCTATTATAATCAAGAACAAATAATTTAATCTCTTACCTTGATTTCTTCCTCAGAATAATAGGATTGATAATAGCATCTGCAGTATACATCTATTGTGAGGAATAAATAAATTAGTACACATAAATGGCTAAGAAGAGTATTCAGCATACAGTAGGTGCTTTATAAATATCACTTATCATCATCATCATGGTTATTATTATTATATCACTGAGAGGGCAGAAACATAATTAATATTTTATTATTAACACCACTAGGAAAAAACAAACATTGAAAACATTTATTTAAATTAAGGAAGCCAGTCAAAAACTTGAAATTGGTTATGGAACTTTGAAATCAATCGAGAAAAGGGGAACAAACACTATTTAATGAATCTAACTAATTAACCAAGATGACAAATACAGGATAAGGAGCTTGTCAGAGGGGATGCTGCTAAGTTGTTTCAGTCGTGTCCAACTCTTGTGACCCCATAGATGGCAGCCCACCAGGCTCCCCCGTCCCTGGGATTCTCCAGGCAAGAACACTGGAGTGGGTTGCCATTTCCTTCTCCAATGCAGAAAAGTGAAAAGTGAAAGTGAAGTTGCTCAGTCGTGTCTGACTCTTAGCGACCCCACGGACTGCAGCCTACCAGGCTCCTCCGTCCATGGAATTTTCCAGGCAAGAGTACTGGAGTGGGGTGCCATTGCCTTCTCTGTCAGAGGGGATGACTATACATCAACTGTTGGATACACTGCATTTGACATCCTTCTTGGACAGTTAATTGGACATTTGGAATTCAATTTAAGAGAGAGAGATCAGGATTGGGGCACATATTTTTGAATATGAAATTCAGAGATGTAGTTAAAGCATGAGAGAATTTCCAAAAGGAGGATCAGAGTAATGTGGGATAGAAAGATCTGATAAAACTCTTTGACTTGGCCACTAGGAGATCACTAGTAACTTGGTGAAAACAAGCTATATCATGAAAGACTGAAGAGGTGACTGAAGAGGTGATTACCCTGGCAGCATGGAGAATCAGATGGCTGCACTTAATAACATTACCTGGGAAAAGCTACCACCAGGGAAGAATGTGCAGAGACAGAGATAGAACCTTCACACATGTAATAACATTCTAGGACTAGGACACAAGCCCTGAGCCAAAGAGACAGTCATTCATTCAATAAATATGTTAGCTAGCCTCTGGGGATACAGTGGTGAAAAACAACCCATGTACACTCTTGGTGGGAATGTAAATTGGTACAGTCACGATGGAGAACAGTGTGGAGGTCAAAAGATACCTGGAGTTACATGCAAGTTTGAAACAGGGTAAACGCTAAGAGTTTTGCCAAGAGAATGCATGAGTCATAGCAAACACCCTCTTCCAACAACACAAGAGAAGACTCTACAGATGGACATCAGATTGACTATGTTCTTTGCAGCCAAAGATGGAGAAGCTCTATACAGTCAGCAAAAACACGACCGGGAGTTGACTGTGGCTCAGATCATGAACTCCTTACGGCAAAATTCAGACTTAAATTGAAGAAAGCAGGAAAAACCACTAGGCCATTCAGGTATGACCTAAACCAAATCCCTTACGATTATACAGTGGAAGTGACAAATAGATCCAAGGGATTAGATCTGATGGAATGCCTGAAGAACTATGGACAGAGGTTTGCAACACTCTACAGAAGGAAGTGATCAAAACCGCCCCCAAGAAAAATAAATGCAAAAAGGCAAGATGGTTGTCTGAGAAGGCCTTACAAATAGCTGAGAAAAGAAGAGAAGCAAAAGGCAAAAGAAAAAAGTAAAGGTATACCCATTTGAATACAGAGTTCCACAGAATAGCAAGGAGAGATAAGAAAGCCTTCCTAAGTGAACAAAATAAAGAAATAGAGAAAAACAACAGAAAGGGAAAGGCTAGTGATTTCTTCAAGAAAGTTAGAGATACCAAGGGAATGTTTCATGCAAAGATGGGCACAATAAAGGACAGAAATGGTATGGACCTAACAGAAGCAGAAGATACTAAGAAGAGGTGGCAAGAATACACAGAACTATACAAAAAAGATCTTAATGATCTGGATAACCATGATGGTGTGATCACTCACCTAGAGCCAGACATCCTGGAGTGCAAGGTCAACTGGGTCTTAGGAAGCATCACTTCTGACAAAGCTAATGGAGGGGATGGAATTCCAGTTGAGCTATTTCAAACTCTAAAAGATGATGCTGTGAAAGTGCTGCACTCAATATGCCAGCAAATTTGGAAAACTCATAAGTGGCCAAAGCACTGGCAAATGTCAGTTTTCACTCCAATTCCAAAGAAGGGCAATGCCAAAGAATGTTCAAACTACTGAAAAATTGGACTCATTTCACATGCTAGCGAGGTGATGCTAAAATCCTTCAAGTTACGCTTCAACAGTATATGAACTGAGAACTACCAGATATACAAGCTGGATTTAGAAAAGGCAGAGGAACCAGAGATCAAATCACCAACATCCTCTAGACCACAGAAAAAGCAAGAGAATTCCAGAAAAACACCTGCTTCATTGACTACACTAAAGCCTTTGATTGTATGGATCGCAACAAATGGATGAAAATTCCTAAAGAGAAAGGAATACCAGACCACCTTATTTGCTTCCTGTGAAACCTGTATGCAGGTGAAGAAGTAACAATTACACTGCACATGGAACAACAGACTGGTTCAAAACTGGAAAGGAGTACGACAAGGCTGTAAATTGTCACCCTGCTTATTTAACTTCTATGCAGAGTACATCATGCGAAATGCTGGACTAGATGAAGTTCAAGGTGGAATCAGGACTTCTGGGAGAAATATCAGTAACCTCAGACATACAGATGACACCATGCTAATGGCAGAAAGCAAAGAGGAACTAGAAAGCATCTTGATGCAAGTGAAAGAGGAGAGTGAAAAATTTGGCTTAAAATTCAACATTCAAAAAACTAAGATCATGACATCTGGTCTCATTACTTTTATGGCAAATAGATGGGGAAACAGTGAGAGACTTTATTTTCTTGGCCCCTAAAATCATTACAGATGGTAACTACAGCCATGATATTAAAAGATGCTTGCTCTTGGAAGAAAAGCTATGACAAACCGAGACAGCATATTAAAAAGCAGAGACATTACTTTACTGACAAAGGTCCATATAGTCAAAGTGATGGTTTTTCCAGTTGTCATGAATAGATGTGAGAGTTGGACCATAAAGAAGGCTGAGTGCCGAAGAATTGATGCTTTTGAACTGTGTCGCTGGAGAAGACTCTTGAGAGTCCCTTGGACTGCAGGGAGATCAAACCAGTCGATCCTAAAGGAAATCAGTCCTGAATATTCATTGGAAGAACTGATGCTGAAGCTGAAGCTCCAAAACCTTGGCCATCTGATGCGAAGAGCTGACTCATTGGAAAATACCTTGATGCTTAGAAAGGTTGAAGGCAGGAGAAGGGGACAACAGAGGATGAGATGGTTGGATGGCATCATAACTGAAGGGACATGAGTTGAGCAAACTCCAGGAAATGATGAAGGACAGGAAAACCTGTTGTGCTGCAGCCCATGGAGTTGCAAAGTGTCTGATGCGACTTAGCAACTGAACAACAATAACAATGGCAAGTCCTAAAAAACCCCTAAAAACAGACCTCCCACCTGATCCAGCAGTTCTCCTCTGAATATATCTGGATAAAATGAAAACTCTAATTCAAAAAGAGTCATGCACCCTAGCATTCAAAGCAGCACTATTTATGATAGCCAAGACACAGAAGCAACCCAAGTGCCCATTAACATATGAATGGATTAAGATTTGAGATATATATATATATATATATATATATACACACACACACACATACATACACAGACACACAAACAATGAGATATATGAGAGAGAGGTTTCTTTCTAGATGCTAAATCAGAAAGATAAATGCTGCAATATAAGAAGGTTTCATCTACTTTACCTTGCCAGAAAGAAATGTTTATTTTTATCACTATTTAATATGTTCTGAATATAAGGTAATTAGGATATATAGGATTCATATAGGATATATAGGTTATAAGATGTCAACCATATTACACTTTGAGTTTCAGAATCCTAGGCATCCCTTTTACTGGATTCAGCCCACCCACTTATGCATTCTGCTTAGCTAAGCAGCCAGCAAGAAAAGATTCTCTTCCAGGGCTCCCTACACACTATAGGTCTCTTATGCAGGAGAAAGTCTTTGGCATTTCTTATGGACATCCCTTCCTCTGCCTCCATCTCATCCACTGCAAATCAATCTTTGGAAGGAGACTGAAGAAGGATTAGGGAGACCTTTTCTTGCAGTTCCTGAGAATACTTTATCATTAATTTAAACTCCACAGCTGTCAATTGTTCAGTGATAGATAGTAGTGTCCTAACTTCACTTTTTCATATAATTATGCTGTATTTCTTTGCAGGGGTAGCACAGGGACCATCTTTCATCCACTGCCTTGAGCGATGGAAGACTGGGAATTCAAAATCTCATGTATAAATTCTAAAGATGTATTCTATTACATAGACCTAGGGGTTGGAGCAAGGAAATCTTTACTCAGAAAAATAGGGGCAGAAGGCACCAAAAACAAAAGCATTCATAAAGTCCACATGGGAACATAAACTGTGAAGAGAGCCAGAAGGCTTTCTCCTAAATCTGCTAAAATCCACTGAGACCATAATTGAATATTAAATATAGGGTATGGGTCCAAGAGATAAAACTAGGTGATGAACAAGGCAAGAGCAACAGGTACAAAAGTTCGGTGACTGCCTTTATGACAGTGATTAGAGTATACCTGGGATAATATTTTCAGAGTTTCTGAGATCTAATGAAGTTGCAAGTGACCTCCATGAGCATGAGGTGATTTTCTTGTAGTATTAAGTCAAAATTAAGCTATGTGGGTTGTAGAAAAAATGAGGACATAGTTTACACTAGCTCTAATAAGCAACCCTTAGATTCAGTCTGCTCTAGTTTCCTGGAAAGTTATTACTGTTGGTGGCTGGGTATTCTATTTAATGGATACATTATATTCAACTTACCCATTCCCTTAGTGTTGAAAATTTGTCATTTCCATTGTCCACTAATATTATACTATGATTAA